AGTGAAATGCTTGAACTTTCACAAGCTTAAAGCATGTCTTTCAAACTGGAAAAGCTATTTGAAAGATTCTAAACTAAGCTTTTTCACATAATAATCAATGTTTCTCCATATTATGAAATCAGAGCACGAGGAAGTTGGATGAGTCAGCAATAGTAGTGGAGCATGTCTTGACAGTTTTCCAATGGAGAGTTCAATGATAGCAGTTGACGGTTGTCAGGCGATGCAGCCTAATCTTCAACATAAGATACACTCGGAGATACGGTTTGGACAGCTTTTCCAAGTTTTTCAGACTTCAAACTGAAGAAGGGAAGACAGCTGAGCATTTTCTTGTGTCAAGATGGAAGTAACAATATGTGTTTCCGTCTCATATTCCTTTGAAATAGAAGCAAATTGAAGGAAATGATGATGAGGCTAGTAATCTCTATCTGTCTCTCTCTTAATTCAATTTCTCTTTTTGCTATTGAAGGGTATTGCAGATTCTTCTAAAAGTAATTACAGCTTGAAAGCTTCTGATATGATGCTATGATAAGTTCTTAGCATGTTTCTCAGTGAGAGAATAAAATCGAAGAAGAAGAAGAAGAAGGAATGTCTTCTGAATCAGAGAAACGAGTGGTTGTGAGTGTCTTCGATGTATCTTACTCAACCAACGAATTGATGAGAAGTCATTGCTAGTTTTTACTTGGAAATAAAACATTAAAACTCATTTTGTTTTTCACACAATAGCTTTTTACAAGTGAAAGATCTGCGAACTTGAATTTGTTAACATGAAGAAGGAACATTGCTCAATGGTCATTGCTTTGACATCATGGCACAGAGGTTGTAACGTAAACATCTAACGACGTCATACCGTAATTGGAGTGAAGAGGATAAGAAGAGAAAGAGACATCAAACTTTAGGACACTTTAGTGTAACTCTTTAAAAGATTATAAAGTAAATGAAACGTCCATAAGAGAGTAAGTGACGTCAGATGGTATTATATGATCATTAAGCCATTTATAGTTGCTTTAACAAACTTTTATTTATAAATAATGTATGTTGTTTGGTGTTGAAATAAAAAAAGAAATGTTCTTTCTCTCTCTTTCACTTGAATGAGATGCATCAATCGAGTCGAATTACGTATGGGAAATCCCCCCCGTGTGTTAGTCATTTTATACATAAATAGATGTATTTACCAACATTTGAATGCGGCAGTTCTGATAGCAGAATAGACAGCTCTGTAATCTGTAATGGATGAATGAGATGTAATTTCAGATAGAATATGAGATTAATTTGACCTTTCTTAAACTTTGTGAGATAATGCTCGTTGAGAAGGATGAAAGTGATAGAGTTCAGCAAGCAATGGAGGGAGCCAAAAGCCCAAAAGAATGCGGAAATCCCTTAACATACAGAATGACAACAGCGTTAACAAACTTGACAAACTAACATAATTCAGCTCTAATTTTAAAAAACAGAATAATTTGAGATGCGAATGATGGTACTCCATGTGCTAGGCAGGGAATTCTAGAACGATAGAAAATATATTATGAGTGAATCCGAGATGATTGTTACATGATCATGAGTGTTGAGCTAACAATCAAACGAAACTGTAATCGTCGTGTTGCTTTAGAGAAGGAACGTGATCTCTTATTAAAGGCTCTAAGGAAGACAGCAAAATATACAACATATACAAGAATAACGAAATTAGTAGCAAAAAACACAGCGTAAAGACTGTAATCAGTGATTCTGATGTCATTGGTATAGAGAACGTCATATGAATCTGTCAATGGCTTCAGATGTGGACAATCCTATGAAAATTAGAAAGAAAAATTATATTATACAAAAACGTCAAATTACATTAACCAAATTCGTTTTGGCATGCTCATGATCATAGATGGAACAGAAAAAAATACAAACTGCAGTGAAAGGTCCGCATGATATGAAAAACATGAAAACGCCAAGAAACTGAATTTTGAGCTTCCTGTCTCTTCCGTAAACTGCTAAAGAAAAGCGTCGAAGTAATATCATTTCAGCTGCTGATGTTATTATGATTTGTATTGAGATATCTCCAAATACGGACCAAACGGAATTGATACCAAATAATCCAGCTTCAACAATTGTAAATGAAGGCATATACTGTACATACCCCTAAATATATTATACAAAGCTCTATCTAGTGACCCAAGATATCATTAAGTATACCGCTAATGAGTTCATAACTGAATATGCAGTGACGGATGTCTGATATATCAATAATAAAATTTTATATTGTTTATCGGTATTCGGTGGTGTTGATGAGTAAATCAGAAAAATTGTATAGAAAGAACTTGGCACAGTTACAAATAGAAGACCTGTTGAAGCGTTTATAACCCATTTAGGTGGCAATTGAAATGAATCTGGACAACGGTCCATTCAAATATCTAAGTAAAGATGTTTATAGATTAATAGGAATAGCTTGTAGTTACGAGTGAGAACAACAGAATCAGAATAATAACAGCGACAGACCGATTACATAATGATGAGAGGGAGAATGAATGAATCTTTGAGACGTTTTCATTTTAAAAAAAAATTATGCAATTTGCGGTCGTTCAGATTGTCTTAGCCGCAGAGTATAATTATCAGTAATCAATGAAAGTATTGAACAGAGTAACGCTCACATTGTCAAAAACATGTGTGAAGATGAGAGAAAAAATAGTAACAAAACAATCTCATAGATAATGGGAGTTATACCTATGCACGTCTTCAAGATCATCATCATCTTTGTAGACGAAGAGAAGGATAGTCAAATCAACGAGGTAAATGATCAGCTTGGAGCAGGTTGGATGAAACTTCTACGCTTGATGAAGTGCATATCAAACGGAAACTAACTCTCATACTATGGTTTCTGAATTTCATTGGGTTTAGACGAAACAATGGCTCTTTATGATAAGCTAATTATCATCAAGATGTTCTGCCTCTTAGAATATAATTGAAAACAGTTTTGGAATCACATTCTGAGAGCTGTACTGCTTGTCCTTTCCAAAACGATTTGGTTCAGGTATTATGTTGAATTTCTGCTGGTATACAGTGCATGGATAAACACCTCACAAGGAGCCGCATATGAGTTTGACGCAACAACGGTGTTGTTTCGTTTATTGATTATTTGAAAACGTTTGGCATTAATGCTGATTAGTACTTGCTCGAACATTCTGTTTAATTTACAAAGTCTCATGACAATATTTAAATTTTTACAGAGAGTTCAGATCTTTCTCGCAGAGCTTTAAAGAGTATGAAACTCTAGCATTTTATACTTTTCAAATCTGTTTTTTGAATTATATTAATTGATAGTCAGATGATGACGTACTCTCATCAATCCACCTTGTGACTTTGAAGGAAAGAGAAAGTATAATGTCGACCTTAATGAGTACTTCATTTAACAGTTTTCATTTTTTTTTCGCATTCGAATCTCATGTGGCTTCACTTATGAAACCGGCGCCGTAAATGTTGTGTATGAGATTGAGCACCAAATTTGAGAACATTCGTGGGAGTGTAAATTACTCCTATTTTCCTTAGTTCCAATGATCTCTCAAAGACATTTTTAATATTAGCTGAATGTTTTAATGATGTGATGGAGACGCTTCTCAAAACCTGCTTCCTCATTCAACCAAACTATGGCACCAGAAATCAACTAGGCTCAATCCCCCTTTGAACTTCAATGTTAATAAGCTGTTCGAATGAATTAATCAAAGTTGCCGTGATCTTTAACAATTCTATGCCCTCTTGATTGTGGTTGTACCACTTCCCTTACTCTTTGTGATTTTCGAGTCACTAATACCATTGCCTCGCCAATAGAATAAAGTTCAAGTCTTCTTTTAATAATTATTTTACAAAATTGCATATTCTTCAACAAGCTTCACAACAGAGATCTGGTTTTCGTATGTTTCAATAGAAGCCGAAGCAAAATGAGCTAAAGGCTTATTGTTGATAGGCTGAGAGAGAACAAAGATTTTGGTGATCTATCGCTAATGATCTTCAAGCTAAATAAAACTGAAAAGAAAAATAATTTTTAGATGCACGTCTAGGACAGTTCTGTTGAAAACTGCTGAAATAAAAACAATTGGCACTTAGTGATGAAAGTAAAGTCCGAATCGTAATAAAGGTAGCTTGCAAAGAATCTAAAAGCTGAAAAACGAATGCTGTTGCTTCAATTAGAAGACTATGAATGCGACACTACTATTTTTGGCTTTCATGAACGATTCAACCACTTGCTAACTATTGCTTGTTATTACAGCTGAGGAATGGTTAATCACAAAGCCCTGAAAAGAGCTCCGTTTGGAGACAGCTCAACCTTGAGCAGAAACCCTGTAGGGACAGCTTGCTCTCAATAGCGTTATAGCAAACTTGGTTGTTTTTCAGATAATTTAAAAACATTCTTCAATGAAATAAACTTCATTGATGTTTCGGATATCGTAATGTATTCTCATATGAAAAAGAGTGCAAAACAAGTTTTCTAATACTAAGAAGGAAGGTTATATTCACTAGTATTGTTGTTTCGACTTCTATATTCATCTCGATTATTAGTCTTATTAGCTTTATGCTAAAGTTCACTAGTTGTTTCCCCCAGATAAACCTTTGATGATCGAGCTTGGAATTTCTAATTCATGTTTTTCGGAGCTAAATTTAGCTCTATTTGGCCACTAATGAATAATTTGCTTTAATGCTTATAGTCCATCTTGCCTGCCGAGTATGTGAATGCGATTCCTGTCTTAAGGTCATAGGAGTAGATGGAAATTTAACAGACTGTTTCAAGAAAGAGTGATATAGAAGAATATATATTTATTCAGAGAAGCATCTACAAAGAAAACCCGTGGACAGCAAAAAATAAAAAGAAAAGCTCATTAAATTGGAATAATATGCATAAAGGTGACTAGATTTAAGTGACAAGCAGTAATAAAACTAAGATTTACCGGTATCGTATTGATAATGAGATTAAGATAAAGCTTTCAGTGATGAACCTGAGTAATATCATATTAGGAATGCAAATCTTATGTTTTTAGGAAATAAGTGGTCATTAACCCTTTGCCTTTTACATTGATCTCACCACGACATTCAAACTCGAAACCATGATTCTCCAAAATTTGCTTCGTTTCTTCAGTCACCTGCAAAAACAATGTGAGTGTTCGGAAGCTCATCTGAATTTACCTGTATCTTTCCTTTGACCCCAGAACTATCCATTCGACTTGCAACATTCACAGAATTTCCCCAAATATCATAATGTGGCTTCCAAATTCCAATGACTCCTGCCACTACTGGTCCAACATTGATACCTGCAGATAGAACTGTCCTTGAAAACACAAGTCAAAATAAGCATACCGATACGAAGATTGAAATTATTAAAACTGTGCTCATTGATAGACTTTATCATCACAAGTAGTTGTTGGCAGAACTGAGCTACGGCAACGACATGCGAGTTATCGTCAGTCTTCAAAGAAATGTAAGTATGACACAAGAAGCTATTTATATTACCCTTCCAGCCAAACCACTAGCTGCCATGTACGTTGTCGAAATTGTTTTTATTTTTTCAATACAACTGAACTTTTCTTGATCAAGAAGCTGAAACAGTTTGGTGAGTTTACAAACTAAATTTCCCACGAACTTCGTCAAAGTCAGATATGATTTCATTGAGAAGACGTAAACATTCAACTCCTTGGTTGTTTCCATCAGACTCGATGTAAAACTCGCTGAACTCAGTGATGGTGATGAATGCAATACAAGCATTTTCTCGAGCCTGTAAGAGAGTTTCAACAAAGAAGAAGCTTGTATGTTCACCTCATGATACAAATCTTTTCCTTTAGAAACAGCTTTCTCTTCAAGGAAATGACGAGCAACATGTGATGGCAGAATGTTCTCGAGAACACTTCGATTTTGAGTGTGACGTCGTTTCATCTCCAGTTGTTCATCCAATGCCTGCGATGCAGAAGTAACTTGCGCGAAGTAACTCTAAGATTTACCTGTAATTTCCAGAGGAAATCATATCTTGAGATAAGCTCTGAACGTCTGCTCTGCATGAAAATGAGAACAATGACATAAATTGCAGACAAAGTGTAGAAGATTCTCATGTCAGCCACAATCGAATAGTTTCTGAATAGTTGATAAACTAATGTTCCACAAGATTAAAAACTCACTGGCAATAAGCTGTTAATTGATCAGATAAAGTCATATTGGCTGAATCTAATGAATTCTGCTGAACGAGTAAACTCTTCAGTTAAAAAAACGAAAAAAAAATAAAACCTCAACCCAGTTGTGAAATTGGCGATTATGAAGCTTTCCAGAAGGAATAATCCACATGATCAGGACACCAATGATGCAGAGGATGAGAGCCATAGCAACCTTAACAAGAACAGTACAACTTCTCATTTCTTGATTGCCGATACCTTTGAAGAAGATAGTAAAGCAAGAAATACACATGTAGCCAATAAGAGAAGAAGACAAGTTTCAAAGACAAGCTGAAAGCAGTATAGAATGTAAAATTTTGAATAAGAATCGTACTTCAACATTTCCTTTCGGGACAAAGTTATAGCAAGTTGTTTCGTACACATAGAAAGATTCTGAATCAGAACAATCCAACGAACAACTAGCATCGTATATGGTCTGAAACAGCTACTAGTCAGAAGTTTCTGAGCTAAGCATACCGTGAAGAGCAGGGAGTTGCAAATGAGGACAAGAAGGAAAATACAGGCGATCCGCAAAGGTCTCGAACAGTTCAACTTCTTTCTTCCTCTTTTTGCATTCCGGAGCTTGAAATTAGAAAAGAAAGGTTTTGTAGAAGTGGGATAGATAAAAACCATGAAAGATTTAGTGGCCACATAGGCGACAACAGCAAAAAGGGCGATGACACAAGTGCAGATAATGATGTAAAGAGAAACACTTCTAAAGAAAGAAATAAAGTATTCGAAAAAAAAGGAAAGGTACCCAAGACTCGAGATGGTCAGAACAGAAGAGGCGATGATGAAGACTGTCAAGTAACAACAGACTTGCATAAGAAGAGCCGACTCTTTGATTTCCAGGAACTAAATGAGGAACCAAATTTGGTCTACTGTTCTTTGAAAAGTAGAAAAAAACCTTTTTCTCTACATTTTCTTCTTTAAATTTCAATGTCACTCTGTCACAATACTGCTGTCTCCAAGATTCTTTGTTAATTGCGAGAATTCCCTGACTCAAATGTGACTCAACATCGTCTTTCAATGGCTTCATTGGTTTGACTGCATGTCTAAAAGTGCACGATTAAGAAGGGCAAACATATGATCACAACCTTAAACTCGGACCACGTTGAATGCTTGGTGCATATCCTGTTAAGCGCAATTCTTTACCAATCTAGAATGAGTTTGAAACTAGAACATCAATGGTGACAGAATGAATACTTGACGAGGATTTGGGTTAGCTTGATTATGAGAAGTTGGCTGACGGTTCTTTCCTTCAACAACCAGAAATGTTTCCACATTATGATCAGCCAAATATTTTGATCTTTCACTTCCATGGCCCTCTTCTACATGATAAGCGCCTTGTAAGGCTTCTAATGTTTGCTTGGTTATATGAATTCGTCTAAATATAAATCTAGATTCGAAGAAAAAAATGCAGAAAGTTGGTACCCTGGAATCCCTCCACTTTCCATGTGATTAGCCAATGTTACATCATCTGACCAGACATCAAACTGCCATTTCTTCAATCCCAAAACTCCACAATGTGCTCGTCCCGAATGAATCCCAACTCGCATATTCACATTGACTAAAGTCATTTCTCTTACGAGCCTGCATAAGAGAAATGAGAAAGGAATCGAAAAACTAAAAAACTACTTGATGGCTTCGATCATGTCCAGTCCCATTTCAACGGTGCAAGCTGCATGATCAGGCACGCTATCAGGCAAACCACAAACACAATAATAACAATCACCTAAGATCTGAAATATTCATTTCCATTTTCATTCCCAATAAACAAATTTACCTTAATTCTCATACAATTGTGAGTGTTGGCCAAATGATCGAAACGAGCAAACAGCTCATTCAACATCAACACCAATTCTTCTGCTGTATATTCGGAAGCCAAATTAGTAAAGCCACAAATGTCAGCGAACAAAATACTGAAAAATTCAGAAAATAAAATTTTTGCGAGAAACGATAATTACCTGATGTTCTCATGCTTACGAATATAAATTTTATGAAAAAGTCTATCGGTCTTTCCTCCAAATTCCATATCGCGTTTAACCTGAAGATTCAATAATACTTTTTAAAATAAACGATTTAGAATTGGATGCATTGAATGCAAAAAAGAAAGAAAACAAACTTCATAAGCAATATGTTTTGGTAGAACAGATAGAAGAATTTTTTCCTGTTTATCCAACTCTCGCACTAACATCATGCGCGTTTCGACACATTTCCTAAAAATGAAACTGAATAAAGCCAGATGTTAGGGAACAGTTGCAGACCTCGTTTCTCGAAACGTTTTCCTCTGAACAAGTTCTGTTGGATAATAAACAAAAAAGCCCACAATGTTGACGCCAAGGAAAAGGAGAGCATCGGAAAGAAGCTGAAGAAGAAAATAAATGAAAGTATTTGATAGAACTAACTTACACTTTGAGCATCATAAACACGAACGAGTTGGATTACTAAGCTTATGCATGTAACCAACACTGCTGATACTAACTGAAACAAATATGTTGTGAGATAACGACAATAAGGAATATTTGAAATGTGGGAGATCCATAGACTTCATTAGCATGAATCAGACGTCTGCGCGAAAACTTTGCGAATGCCATTTTGAAAAAAATATTTCGCTGAGAGCGGTTGCATTCAGCACAATAGAAAATTCATAAAAGCTTCGAAACTTACAGTTAGTGCTAATGGAATTGGCAGTAAAGTATAACACAGAAAGAGAACCACAACAGTTAAGGATGAATGTAAGATTGGTGGAGCACAAAATACACAAGCCTTAATTAATATTAAAAATATTAATAAACAATTATAATGAAAGGAACATACAATGCAGCAGATAATCACTATCGACGATAGTATTTTGGCATTTCCTTTATATAATATTGTTATTGATAATATGAATATCTATAATTCATAAATCGTATATAAAATTTAATTTGAAAGAGTAGCAAACGTACATCTATCACAGCCAAGATGGCACAAAAAATCCATTCTGACATTAAGCCCAATATAACTGTTTGACTGGCACATAAAGATAGAATGAATAGAAGGGCAAACTGGAACAGTTGCATGTTAGTAATAAGAAGATGAGAATGATTAATCATTACCTGCATTCGTCCAGAATTAATGTGTTCAAAATATGTGGGATATAGACTATCTTCTCGACAAGCTTCAAGAGCTAGAGATTCATCATCTTCTAGCTGATCTAAGGCTTCTAATATTTCATCGCTTAAATTAATTTTATATGATATAACATTAGAAATGTCTGATTGTACCTGAAATGCTCTCGATTCCATGCACTTCGTAACGGTTCGAGCGCATCAGTGCGCCCCATTTCGAGGCTCTGAAAGCATAAAGTTAATTCAAATAATAAGATTTTCTTTTTCTTTTTTTTTGTGAATTTTCTATTTGATTATATTGAAGTGGAAGATTGCAAATTCATTTCGATTGGAGATTTAGCTGATTACGAGAATAGTTGAAAACGTCTAGTTTTATAGATTTTTGGTAAAAAGGAACGATGACCATTTATAGGATGATGAGTAACGAAAAATTACTCTAAACGGACCCGATAATTGACAATTCGAGTTGAAAGAAGACGAATTTGAGTCACAGGTCGTCGTAATGCCATGTGCCGCATAATGACTTCAGATGGCACACAATTATAAGTTTAAGATGAATGTTGCAGGGGAGAAAAGATACGGAGTGAAGTGAAGAGGAGGGGGGGGGGGTAGAAGATGATGCTTCTTCTTCTTATTCTTCTTCTATTTTTTTCATTCAAAATATGGATGAAAAACAGGAGAGTACAAGAAGAGAGAGAGATCACTGAATGACAGAGGAAGGAAGATACAGAAGGCTTCAGAATACAATGAAGGCACAAGCATTCTTCTTGCTTTATCAACGACACAAAACTCGTATGATCTATCTCTGTCTCTCTCTCTCTCTCTCTCTCTCCGTGTTCCTATCTATCCCTCTATCTTCTATTGAGACTTCCTAAAAGTCTCGTAAAGTTTGCATTGTAAACACGCAAAGCTTCCTCTGATTTAAGTTGTTTCCCTTAATCCATTTTCATATTTCTTCGGTCATTTCAGTTACAGATGGTTCTTGGAAGCGTTAATCAAAGTGAAGTTTGAGTCTTAGAAAGTTGAACAGAAAAACGAACAAAAAAAAAAAAAAGAAAAAAAAAAGATGATTTCCTAGCTTTCGGACAGCCATTATCCATTTGAACTCAAATGTGTTACAAATCAAAATAGAAGACTAATTGGCTTTTGTTGTCTTCATGTTTGATCATCTGCATGGCCTTTTTAAGAAATCATTTTAACATCTTTGTGTGAAATCTTTAAACATTCAACATTTCTCTTTCGTTTTTCATAAAAATGACTGATAGAGGTGACCAATGGAACTTTTTCATTTTCTCTCGTTGTACAAAAAAGAAACAAGCACACTAAACGGACAGATATTTTTTTTATTTGAAACAAGACATGAGGCAGAATGTGAGAGAGAGAGAGAAGGCGCAATATGGAGACAGAGGGAGAAGGATGAACGTTGAAGCGAGACGGGAAGAACTGCCATCAGGATATTGAAATCTCCTATTAAAAGCTTAAGCTTGACTAGTAGAAGAGGAAGAAAAAATTGAAAAAGCTGTAAGAGAGAGAGAGAGACAGAGATGAACAAAAAAAATGAAAACAACCGTTCAAATCGTCAGCTTCTATCGAAATGATTTGATTAGAATAAATGAAATGTAAAGTTGAGATGCGCGCGAAATATTTGAATGAACGAGACAGTGTGTAGGATGTGCGAAAGTGAGATGAAAAAATTTGTGAAAAAGTGAAGAATAAGAGCAAAAAGCTAAATGAGGATAAAGATAGTGATGTAGTGGGTGGCAGGAATGGAAAAGAGAAAGAACGGCAGAGAGAGAGAGGGAGAGAGAGTGAGGGAGATAAATGAAAATGAAGATGAAAGGAAAGACAACTACCTTTTATAGAAAATCATCAGAGAGGTATGGAGGGTAAGTGGTGAGTATATGCTTCTTCAAGCATCAAACAGCTTTGAGATGAAGTGCAGACAAGGGAGAGTAATGAAGCGTGGGATAGAAAATTGTCTTAAAAAGGCATTTCTATAAAGAGTGGGAGGGAGAATGTTGGGAAGACCAGGTAAGGATTTAAATAGAAAGCTTAATCACATGTAATCTTCACTCAGCTTTGAACAAAATATATGAGACATGATAGCTAATCATTCATCAGAAGAAAGAGAAAGCAAAAATAAAATGAGAAAAGCTTAAAGCCAAGATGGAAGAGTTGAAAGAACGCCATCAGACAATAGGTTGACGACGATAAGCTTAGAGCTCATGTCAGTTTCAATCAGTTTGAACGCACTTGAAGTCTCTCATTACAACTTAAAGACTTTCTTGTTCTTATCGGAATAAAAAAAAAATTTTTTTCTCAGCAGTTGCGAAGGTGTCAATCAAAATTTATTCAGTCCTATTAGTCTTAACGCGATTGTTGTCATGATGAGGATGTTTAATGAGAAAGAGGGTAAATCTAAACTGAATGTGAGGTGTGCATGGTGGGGGGGGGAGGAGGGGAAGGAGAATGGAGGAAAGATGAAAGACAATATAAGCCAAAACAAAACAGCTCAGGTATTCGCGAGAGAAAGAAAGAATCATCTGTGAAATCGAAATGAAAATACAGAAAGTGAGAGAGGAAGAGAGAAGGTAGAGATGGTGGCAGAAGAGGAAAGAAGTCCAGGGAAGATTAAGCTTCAAAAATATTTTGATTTCATCTGATGGAGAGAAAACTTTTTAAAAAAACATATGATAGGGTGATTATATATGACACTTCGTCAAGCCCCCCTAAGCAAAAATAATAATTGAAGAGGAAGTTAAAAGCGGATAGAATGTAAAGAGAGAGAGAGATACAGAGAGAGAGAGAGAGAGAGGATGATTGAATGAAAGATGGAGTAGGTAGAAGGGAGAAGATGTATGTATGTTACCGGTTGTGTTCTGCATGAAAGAGAAAAAAATGAATGATTGTCTTAACAAACATACTTTTGCTATGGAAATTGTAGAGAAGGATCTCATATCCATTTGTTATCTGAGTGTTGAGCAGTATTCTCAACAAGGACAATCACAGAAAACTTAAAGGGCAATATGGTGGTAGTAGAAGAAGAACATAGAAGTTACTACAATATTCTTTCGACGAAAAAGGAGAGAGGGACGTGGGGTGTGGGGGGGGGGTAGAATAAGATATGGAGATGGAAGAAGGGTATCAAAGAGAGAGAGAGAAAGAGAGAGGGAGGAGCAGTAAGAAAGAGAGAGAAATTGGGGGAAGAAGGGATGAAAGCATTGAAGAGGGAAAAGGAAGAAGAGTTGAATGAAACTTTTTGAGTCTTTTCTTGATTTTCTTATTTAACAACTCCGAATTGGAGTCCAAAAAAATGAATGAAAAACGAAGCTTAAGCAATGGAGAGAAAAAAAAAGAAAACAAGTCAGAACTACAAATTCTCTCCTTGTATTTCCGACTCTAAATAAGATAGAGAGAGAGATGAAGAGATTGAGCAGTAGATGGAATGAAAATGAGGGAGATACTAAAAGAGAGAGTGAGAGAGATTGAAAGTTAAAGTAAGAGGTAAATATAACATAAAGAAAATGAAAATGAGAGGGATTTTGTAAAAGAGGTAGAATGAGGATACGTGAGAGAGTTAGACAGAGAGATGTATAACGTAGATTTGAGACCAAAAAAGGAATTTGAAATCATTTAGTTTATTTTGGAATATTTGATGGAAAAGTCTTCCATTCAGAAACTTTTCTCTGTTTCTCTACCTCTCTCCCTCGATCTACATCTCTCTCTCTCTCTCTCTCCTTCTCTGTGCAGAAGTTCTTTTGAATAATAAATGAACAAAGAATAGGTGAATTCAACCTAATATTCACGTAGAAAGTGAGCTCCACAACCTATGTTGCGAACAATCCAGATTTTGGTCAAACAGCGTTCTCAGATAGACGGAAAAAAGCAGATCGAGAAATCAGAAAAAAAACGAGGGGAAGATGTGAGAAAGAGAGTAACCTAGTGAGAAAAACGAGAGAACGAGAAAGATTTACGCATGATGAGAAGGAGAGAAATCCTTACAAGGGTAGGTTGAATGAGAGAGAGAGAGAGAGAGACATAAATTAGGAAAATGAAGCTCATTATGGTGAAACCACAAGGATCAAATCAGATGCGTGGAGGAAGAGTTTTGGGAAAAATCACCGTCATATAAGTTGTTTTAATTAATAAAATTAATAAAATTGTTTGAATAGAAAAGTGAATGAAAAAAAAAATTAGTTTTAAATGAGCTGAAAGTCATTTGAATTCTAAGAAATCCTGAAGCTTTCCATCTCCTCTCCCCCACCATTCTATACTCCTCCTTCTCTACGCCATTCTTTCAGACTCCCACCGTCTTCACGTCAGCATAGGAAGAGAACGGCTGTGTATGGAGGAGAAGTTACAAACACATACACATACACAAAATGAGAAAGATAATGGAAAGAAAATAAAGCACATAAATGGAAAATCCTTAAGAGATAGAGATTGAGATGAAGAGAAGAAGCTTTCTCATTTTGCAAAAAAAGGCTTAAAAGAAAGTAAGTTAGAGAGTATATCAACTGTTTTAGTACGTTAAGAGAGAAAAAAGTAAATTTGGAGAGTTGCAAGAGAGAGAGAGAGAGAGAGATAGCGAGAGAGGAAGGAGATATGAACCTTGATGAAAGAGAATGATCTAAGAGAGGAAAATAGATTTTTTACTTTGAAGGCAGAGAAATAGAAGGAGAGAGAAGGAGAGACAGAGAGGGAGAGAGAGAGGGGGAGAAGTACAGTTGACAGAGATGAAAGATAAAGAAAAACATGTACTAACAGAGAATTTCTGATGATTTGATGACTAATTTTGGGTATAAAAAAACAATTTTTATCCATTTTTATCAAACAGATTCAATTCATTCAATGTCAAGACAGATGACAATGATGATGATGATGATGATGAGAAGGATAGAAGACGAACGACAAGAACGACATCGTCGTCAATGTTGGTTGATGAAGAAAGAGAATCGAAGAAGACAACTGACGATGATGAAGAAATGATAATGGAGAAACTAATTCAAATGAAAATCGCTTTTTTTATGAACAAAAAGTAAAAATAGATGAAAAAATGATAAAAATAGAAAAGAAAAAGATTGAAAAACAATGGATTTGACTGGTAGAGAGAGGAGAGAAGACGAAGAAAAGGGGGAAAGAGAGGGAGGCAAGGGAGGAGAGAAGGAGATAGAAGAGGAATCGAACATACAATTTGATTGAACAAAAAAACTTTTTCTTCTCCTTCTCTTAAGAAATAGGTGACATAAGAGCATTGAAAGGGTTTAGATTATAGAGAGTTTAGACGATTAGAATTAAAAATAGTTTGTTGATGAGAGAGAGAGAGTGAGAGAGAGAGAGAGAAAACAACAACTAAAGGTAATTAGAGAGATGAGAGATGAGGGTGGTTGTGATGATGATGGTGGTGTTGCTTACTGGAAGGGGGGTAAATGAGAATGAACGAACTAATGATGGTATGAAGGAAGGGAGGTAAACGAAAGATATAATGAACTCTACTACGTTGATGATAACATTAGAAGAGACTGGAGAAGAAAAAAATGAAAAAAAAGAATGAGCTTAAGCAGAAGAAGCAGAAGAAGAAGAAGAAGGAAGTAGCTGGTATGAGACGATGTGATGTGGAAAAGCCTTGAGTGGGATGGGTGCAAATGATGATGAATGATATGATAATCTCATAAGTTCATATAAGTTAAGTATTGTCCATAACTAGTAGAAGAGATGTGAAAGGGGAGACGAGAAAGGCTAGCCAATGCATAAAGGATTAAGCTTTGTAGAAGAATTTATGACAGAAAGGATTAAAAAAGAAAATAATGAAAACTATACGAATAAATAAATGACGAAAACACTACTTGCAACCGTTCAGTTCGAATATATCAAATTTTGAATGAAAAAAAAAAATTTTTTTCTTTCGTTTCAAAATCAATTTGGATTCACGTGAATGGCGGACGTGAAAACGTGGAAAGAAATATTCAAATTTCGAAAGCTTCCTCGCCTTATGGAAGAATGATGCAGATGAGAAGGAGCTGCAACAGAAGGAAAAAGAGAGTAACAGATAATGAGGTGATGGTAAGAGATGGAGGAGTAGGAACGCAAAAGGAGAAATGAGAGTTAGAAGAGAGGTTTATAGAAAAATAAATAGAACAGAGAGAAGTGAATAGAGAGAAAGAATGAAGAGATATTGATATAGAGAGAAAGAGAGAGAGAGAGAGATAGGGAGAGAGAGAGGGAGAGAGTTGAGTTTTTGAGAAAAAAAAATGAAAAAGACAATAGCAAAACAAAACATAAAATGTGAATAAGCTGAGATGATCAAGTAAAAGGAAAGAAAAGAAATACATAAATCAATAAAAAATATTAAAAAATGTTCATTGAAATATAGATTTCGATTTACAAAGAGGAAGAGAGAGAAGGTGAGATGGAGGGAGAGGGAAGAGAAGCGTCGAATGGCAGAATGAAAGAGACGACGACAAGGATGGAAAGGTAAGAAAGGAGAGAAGACCATCTGACAACAAGTCGCAAAAAGCCATACAAAATAAGAAAAAATAGCTTTTCAAATGAAATTACTTGTAATTGACAATGAATTGGCTGGTTAGGTTGGATGTCTGTGGCTGACTGAGAGGAAGGTAGAAAAGCTGATGATGCTGATGATGCTGATGATGTGAGGCTGTGGATGTTCGAAACAAAATGGAAAAATGAATATGATAGGTTTAGATATTTTGATTTTTCGTTTAAACTACGAACAATAATGATCAGATTATGTTATGTGATAATGCTCCCTGAGGGCGAAACGACTACTCGACATTCTGTCATTTTCGTTCTCTTGGACGATCTGCTCTCAGAGACATTACTTAGGTCAATGAAAAGAAGTAACATGGAATGACAGAGAGAGATTGAAACAAATAGAATGAGAAGGAGAGAGAGAGATAGATAGAAAGAGATAGTCAGAGAGAAGAGCTTAGGAGAGATGTTTTTGTCTCCGCAATCCATTAAGCTTGGAAGTTTTTTTTTTTAAACCCTCAAGGAGAATGAAGACGAGATCGAGGAACAATGATGATGTGTGTGAGTGTGTCTGTGTGTCTCTGTGTGTGTCTGTATGTGTGTGTGTGTGTGGAATGAATCCACATTGACCATTAAAATAATTATTATAAACATTGATCATAATTGAAAAATAAGCTTTCATTCTCACCTTCGAATATGCTCTCTGACCCATTTATGCAAATGAGATGAGACGATAGTGTAATAAGCTGAGAATGCCAGTAAGCAGAAAAAAAATTTTTTTTGTTTTTTTTTTTGGTGAAACTTGAAAATGAATTATCTTCAGCTTCAGCTTCTTCCTCGTCTACTCCTCTAACTCCTGTTTCCTACAACTACTACTACGCTTTCGTGTTCTCCTTGTGCTTCCTTAAAAAAGAAACAAAAAGAAAATGAAAGTGTATATGAGAGGAGGCAGTCGTCAAAGAATAATTTGAGAATTCAAAGCTTAAATAGTGCCTGAGGCACTGTGCAGACACTCTCGGTAAGCTAAATTCACTTAAAATTTATGCAAATGAGATAGATAGTTAGAGCTGAAACAAAAATATTTTTAAAAATTTTCATTCGAAAAATGGGAGTTGACAGAGTGTGGTCTTGTAATCGATCGTCATGTCAATCTCTGATAAAAAGTGATTTTGTAGAAGACAAAGAGAAAAGAAATAATTTGTGATAACAAAGAATGAATTGAGGTTGATTAGGAAGAGAAAAAATGGAAAAAAAAGATGCAGGTGGTTGAAGAGAGTGAGAGTTATAGAGAGAGAGCAGAGAAAGATAGAGAGAATAAAAGAGATAAAGAGAGGTAGCGGAAAGAAGAAGAAGAAGAAGCATAAGATAAAGAGATATATTAGGTAGTAATAGAAATAGAGAGTTTCCAAGAGGAAGAGAGAGAAGAGAGATTGAGAGAGTTTTGAAGATAGAGAGAGAAAGAGAGAGAGAGAGAGAATGACAGGGAATCCATGCCTAGCACTCAGAATCACGCCCGAAATATGATGTCTTTTGTATAACGATTGGTTATCAATGAATCTTATCAAACTATTAATAGATTTTCATCATAGCTCATTCGTCAGCTCTCTAATCAGCTACTCTTTCATTCTCGAGAAAGCTTTGAATAAACTTTATCACCTATAAGATATCAATTGATCTGCATGATCCATATACAGTTCTCATTGACTTCTCTTAATCTCTTTCACCTTCATCGTGATCTCTCATTCTCACCCTCATTGCTTTACTCTTCTCTCTCTCTCTCTATTTCTGTCTCTCTCTTCATATATTCGAAAGCATGTGTATATGCTTAATGATACCTTCTTAGAAAAAAACTTTTTCTCGAAAAAGAACATTTCGATCGGTCAGTCAATCAGCTTTGAGCACACAAGTACTTGAGAAGAAAGCTCATTTGATGTTCCATTTATAGGCATTGAACAACATGAGATATCTATTTAAAGCTCATATACTATGTGACTATCATATAATCACCCAAAAGGGTTTATTCAAATTACTTGCTCCATAGCAATAATACCATATAAAGTAAGCAATCAGCAGCACAATAGGAAAGACAATTTCGTTCTTTTTTTTTTCTGAGTCAAAATACATTTAACCATACGTATAGTATAGAGAGTGAGGGAGAGAGAAGCATAGAAAGAGTTCCATATATGAACAGGTAGAGAGATAGAGAGATGAAATTAAGAAAAATGTCTGGAAGTTGCTTACAACCGTTCACTTTGTCGTTCGAAAAATAAAAATGAAAAACTCACGTGAAATATGTGAAAAGGGTTTATGCTAATGTGTGTACGCATGTGAATGAAGTATAAAGGAAGATCAAATTACAGGTAAGCAGGCAAGAGAGTTCGCTACAAAGAGCGACGAAGCATACAGAGGGTGGGGGGAAATGAGACGCAAAGAGAAATCAAAAAAAAAAAGAAAAAGAAGAAAAAGAAAAATTCAGATGAAAAGCATCTGAGTACTTTCTTTTTCTCTCTCTCTGTTTCTCCCTCATTCTCTTCTTAATAGGATCCCAGTGAAGAAAAGAAAAGTCTGAAAGTCTATGGCGTGTGTGTCTATGTGAGATGAAGAGAGAGAGAGAAGAGAGGAAGGTTCTGTTGACTTTTTGACAAAAAAAGAAAAACTAGAAGTCTAACGATAAAAATCAGAAGACGAAGCAGAAGAAGAAGAAGAAGGACAAGAAGAAGCTGAAGCAGAAGGCAGACGAGGAAAAGGTAACACAGAAGCGGAAGCAAAAAAGCAAGAATTCGTCGTTAGTATCAATCAGAATTTACAAAAATACAAAAAAAAAAAAGAAAAGAAAGTAAAAATTCATTAAAACTTACAAGCTTAATGATGTCATCAAAAAATTTTTTGTTCGCTCCACGTAATGTAAATTGATTTGAAATCCGTCGTATATTGAGCATTGTGTATGGGATGAGAGTTCAAAACGTCTAATGTTCTTCTTCTTTAACGACACAATAACGTTTTTGAATAAATAAGAAGAAATGTCCTCTGCTATGGCTGCTTCCGAAGAAGGTGAGATGATGAAGCAAAGGATTTCAACAAGAATACAACGACAGCAATACGAAACACAAAAATGAATATGTTTAACACATAGAGAGAGATAGAGAGAGAGAGAGATAGAGGAATGGAGGGAAGGAATGTATGTGAACGTTTATATAGTTATAAATATATTTATATTTATATATAGTATTGAACGAGATATTTTGATGATCAAATGGACAACAAGGCACAAGAAGAAGACGAAAAAAGCTTTTCACAGTCAGTTACGGCTATGAATTCAGAAAACAAGTAACGCCAATCATTCAAGCCTATATACTATCATTGAATGTACTATATGGAAGCTGTAAAGAGAGAATAGAAGAGAGAGTAAGAGAGTAATAGAGATAGAGAGAGAGAGAGAGAGAAAGAAGGATATATATGTATATGTACATATATGAAGATGGCAATAAGCAATAAAATCATTTTGTATATCACAATGACTGTAACCACGAAATGCTTATATCGCCTTTGCGCCTCACCTTCTTCTTCTTCTCATTCTTCAACTCATATACTATGTGCCCTTAGGGGCAATCATTTTTCAAACATTGAACGAAAATGAAATAAATTTTTATCGTTTCTTATCTATCTTCATATATATAACTATATAATAGTATAGTAAGAAAGTATTATATATAGTTAGATAGAATGTTAACTATACGATATAAATCATGAACATATCCCAACATTCATGGCAATTATTGAGGAAAATTCAGAGTTAAAATTGACAAAAAAGAAAAAATCGAAGAGCTTGTAGCTCGTCAATGGATGTACACCAACCACATCACAAGAAGCATCAGAAGTTCATGTGTATATGTGGCTTGCTCTTTCTATCTCTTTCTTACTTCCTCTCTTAAAGTATGGAAAGAAGAGTAGCAGCACAAGAAAAATGGCTGAACGAAAATGGCAAATGGTGTGGATGAAGCAAGTAGATGAAGAGGAAGAAGCAGAAGAAGAAGGACGAAGAAGGACGAATTGTTTTAAAAGCGAACTAAAGCAATCTCATCAGTTTATGATCTCAAATGAGAGTAATAGGATTTACACTCGTTGTTAACTATTAATTAATTGTTTGTTTAACTATAAACGACTCCTATCGAGAATGAAATCACCCACCCAGCCAGAGTCCGTGCGTAGTCAGTCAAGTCAGTCAGTCAGTCAAGTCAAGTCAAGTTAGTAAAAACCAAAGTTACTCAAACTGTCGTTAAGCTTGGTTAGAGAAGAATAAAATAGTTTTTTCTCTTTTCAAATGAGAGTAAGGTGGATAGGAGAAGTATGTGTGTGTGTGTGTGATGATGATGAAGAAGGCAGAAGCTGGCAAAAGCGCGTTAACAAAACATAAAAACATGAAATGTATTTGATATGTAGATGTCAAATACATTTCTTTTATGTCTCAGAACATTGAAGTCTTTAATTGGAGAAGAATAACATTCACATGTTTATAAACAATCTCAAAATAGAAAAAAAATAAAAAAAAAGGAAAGAAAAATCTTCTCAGATGATAATTAGAAGTGGAAGGGTTATCCTTAACCTAGAGAGAGAGAGGGAGAATGAGAAAGAGAGAGTGAGAAATAGATGGATGGAGAATGAGATCAAACGAAGACTCAAAAACAAAACGAAAGATGATGAAGATGACCAACCGCTCATCTACATCAATCATATCAGAAATGAAAAACGGATGACGTCAAACGGTTGTTCACGTATTTCACGTAAAATCTACTCAATCATATTATTATATCATATAGTTTGAATAACATACATCTTACGTGTTTATAGATTCAAGTTGCTATAGGATGAGACAGTAAATGCTTCTTTACATTCTCTATTATCTCTCAGTTACTTACTAACTATATGCGATAGGTGGGAGGGTATAGTTAACGACTGTTGGTTGTATAATACTTCCTTATAAGGCTATATTAACATCATTTCCGATCTGAATAAGCGGATATGGGATCAAGATGAACGTGAAATCTGATGATTCCAATCATTTTCTTCCTCTCATCTTTATTAACTACATAAAGTAATAGTTAACAATAACAAAGCTTAACTATGCTATTTCCTAATAGCTTCGTCTAAAGCTTTTCCCAATTTATTTTATTTTTTTTTGTATTTTCTCTTTTTACAGAAAAAAAACACGTGAATTCTCAATAAAGAGAGATGTAGAGAGAGATTGATATAGAGAGAGGAGAGGTGTAAAGAGAGAAAGAGAGAGAGAGAGAGAGACAAGTTGTATACGTAATCCACAATTAAACAACTTCTCTCTCTAAAAGATAATCCTCAAAGCAATTCATACGCCATCTCATCGTATGAAAAATAATAAAAAAGATTTCTTTTCTCCATTCATTACATCCGTAATTTCATTTCCTTTTATGGTTTTCGCATGTCTACAGAAACAAAATATAAAATGAATTTCATCATTTTCCTGAATGAAATGATAAAGCTGCTGCTGGCGCTGCTGCTACTGCTGTTGCTGCTACTACTACTGCTGCTGCTGCTGCTGCTGCTGCTGAATCTGACAGTCCCATCGTTGCCCTTGATGATCATAACAACAGGGGAAAAAAAATTTTTTTTCGGCTTGTTAGAAAAACTTTCTCTTTTAATCCTTTAACTGTTCCCTCATTTTATTCTTATTTTTACAAA